TTATTTCTGTACTTCTTTTTTTGTTTGTTACTATCTTTACAATTCTTTACTGAATTTTCTTACTGATCAATTTGTTATTTGGTAGAATATATACTCCTAATACTATTAGTTCTAATTATTTAAAATACAATCTCATCTTTAGCATGTACTTGCTAGTTCTCTTGACTGCTCCTATATGCTTTTTCTACCTTTCGTCTATTAGTATTTCTATGTCTGACTTTTTTTTCTTGTCTGTTGCTGCACTGGTCCAGTAGTCCTTATACTGTGTATTGCAATTATACAATAAGAACTTTTCTTCTTTTTCTGTAATGTTTGTTTCTGTTATTCTTATTATTGTAAGTTCTTCTTTAATTGCCCATCCTATAAGGTTTTCTAACTTCCAATCTCTAGTTTTAAGTTCATTAATGTTAAAACATGTAATTTTGATTTTTTTTCTTTCTTGTTTCCATTTTTCTTCCAGATATTTGTGTTGTGTTTCTATGTTTACTTTCTTTTCTTTTCCTTTTTTCTTTATTTCTTTTTTGTAACCAGAAGATATTTTCATATTGCTTCTTTTAAAGTTCCTTCTTTGTTCATGCAAGAACTCTTCAATCTCCTGGTCCATACTCATTGGTTCAACTGGGGCACCCTTAGGAGCAGTCAGCCAAGATTCATTCTGTTGTACCTTTTATGTTCTCTAATTTTTCAAGTCTTTTTATAATTTGGCTTAGGATGTTATTTGTATATGAGGTTTCTTCTTGTACTTGAGACTTGGTTTTAGCTATTCTTTTTTTATGAAATCTGTCTTTTCCTTAAAATAGATTTACATGTCTTGTCTTATTTTCTGTAACTTGATCTTGTGTATAGCTCCTGCTTGTTGTTGTCCAATCTTCTACTCTTTGATTTTGTCTTTTTCTCTTTCTGTTCATGTTTGGTCTATATTCTTGTTCTTCTTCTCTGTTGATATTCTTTTCTGTGTCGAAGACTTGACAAGACCTTTCTTAGCTTCTTCCTCTTTCTTATTTAAGGCTTCCTCTTCATTTTGTTTCTTCTATTTCTTCTTTTATCTAATAAAGTCTAAAGTTGTTAAACATGAATAGTTTTGATTGGGCTGTTTTCATATTTTCTTCTGTTGCAAACATGACTGTTGCAGTTCTTCTTTGATTTCTGTTTCTATTTGGAAATATGTGGACTGATTTAATCTTTTTGTTTTTCAAACTCCATAATAGTAGAACTTCTGAGACACTTTCTGGTAATTCTGTCAACTTTGCTAAATATCTTCTTTGTCTTTCTCTTGCTTTATGATTCTTCATTCTTTTGGTTACTTATACTAATTTGTTATTGTTTATTGGTATAGCCTATAATATGTCTTCATGTGTTTTTTCTATTTGTACTATTGCTAAGGCCTTATACCTTGATCTTTTAATTCTTACTACATGGGCTTTTCTAAATCTTCTGCAGATGTATTCTACTTTCTTCTTGTTTATGTTTATTGGTAGGTTTCAGATTGTTATATAGTTTGCATCCTCTAATTCTTTATTTATATTGCATTGATTTTCTTTTATCTCAGTTTTGTTTACTTTTCATTTAGGTTTTTCTTCTTTGGTTCTTGCTTCATTGTTTCTCTTCTTTTGGTGTTCTCTATTATATTGTATTTGTTTTCTTTTATTATCTTCTTCTTTCTCTTCTGGTATCATTTTGTACCAGTCACTTTTCTTTTTGCTAATTCTTTGTATTGCTTCACTTTTGTTATATTCATAGTCAAAGTTTATCTTTATCTATAAGTTTTCTCTTTTGAAGATTTTTCTAATGTTTTTAATATATATGTTGTTTCTTAAAGACCACTTAATGAATTTCATATAATCTTCTTTTGTTTTACTAGGTACATTATACTCTGGTATATTGGTGAGTAGACTGTTATTTTGGTTGCAGTTTTTTTTGTTTAGAGCCTACATGTTCTCTTTTAAGAGTTCTTCAAATATGTTAATTTCTCTTTCGATTTCCTTTCTGATGCCTTTTTGTTCTTGCTTCCCTTCTTGTTTTTCTGTATTTCTTTTTTGAGTAGATGAATTCTCTTCTATTTGGTCTTTGTTTATTAAACTTAACTCTATACTTACTTCTTTTTGTAAGCTTTTAATATTATCCCATATTTTCTTTTCAGCTACTTTTTTGTTTTTTGTTTTCTTTTCTTATATTATTTTGCATGATTCTTCTTGACTTCTGTTTACTTCATTTGACTGTTACTGTATTTCTTTTTCTTTGTCCTGTATCTGCACTATTGCTGGTTCTTCTATTGTAACATTTTTGCTTTGCTTATTAATGTTAATCTTCTTTCTGATTACTCTTTTTCTGTCTTTTTGATTATTTCTTTAGTTATACATAACAAAACAACTTCTATTAGATCTTATTCTGTTAGTATAACAACAATTTTATCTTATCTGTCTGGTGTTGTATATATTTTGTTTGCTTGGTTAAAGAACACCTTATTGTATACACTGTTTGCTGCCCAATATGTTCTCTTAATATAAATTGACATTAGACTTTTTTTTTGGTTTGATGTATTATTCATTTGATCTAAGTACTAGTAATTCCTATTTGCTACTTGTTGTTCTGAAATCTTCTATGCTTATGTTTATTACTATCCTAATTAGGCTTATTTGTACATTGACTAATCTATGTATATGTTTTATTTTTCTGTTCATATGTTGTAGTAATCTACAGATCTATGCTTTCAGATTATAGCAAATTCTCCAAATTCTATTTTTCTTAGTGTCAACTAAAATGTTTTTTGTTCTATCTTCTTAGCAAATTGTTCAAGTTTTCTCTTTCTTACTCTTGTTATATTTTTATTACTAGTTTTATCTTTTTTCTTAGACCTGTGAAGTCAGTTTAGACTGTCATTTTTTGGCAAACTTCTAAATTGCTTTTCTATAACTTTTGTATAAGTGATTAGCAAAGAAAATTTTTTTGTATTATTTTTTATAAAATTGAATTCTTAATATTAGTTTTGTTAAAACTATTCTTAAAACATAAGATCAATAAATAAAAAAGAAAAAAAAAAATAACTCTAACATTATCCTTAAAAAATAGTAACCAAACAGATTTGCTAGGTACATGTTATTATGTGATTTGGATTTGGTTATAAACAGTTCAATTACTAATTAGAAAATATTCTTAACATATTTATGAATTATTATCAAATAATAAATATGATCTCTAAGTTTGAATCGCTTAAAATTTTATTGTTTATATATTTTTTTTTATTAATATAGTAGGCAAATTTAATTTTTTTACAAATATTTGTTTTTTTATTTCTATTTTGAACCAATAAGTTAATAATTTCAAAATATATATTTTATTTAATACTATAAAAATTGTTTATGAGACTAATCTAATGATCCAAAGGTCATAATGATAATTTATTTAAATTACCAAAAAATATTCAAATTGTTAAAAAATAAATTCATTTATTTCATTGTTACTATCATTTTAAAAATATTTGAACTTTAGATATTTTTTTTTGCAAGTTAAAATTTTATAATTGTCATACCAGTTTATTTTTAAACATGATAATTTAATTTGGTTTCACATTATAAACTTTTTACTTTAATTCCTTTTTTATTCAAAAAATCTTAATTATTTGAATAGTATGTTATCTTGCGCAGGATTTGGGTTGTTAATCTAACATAGTAAAAGAACTCATCGTTATAAATTTTTTTTTGTTGATTTAATATGCTAATAATCAAAAAAAAATTCAAATAAATATAAAGTAATATAAAACTATAAGCAAAATCTAGCAGTAACAATGGTAGAAGAAAAATTTTTTATAAGTACATAGACTTTTTTTAATTTGTAATCAAAATGCTAATAATCAAATCCGAATCATATAATCACGTTATTATAAACTTGCATTCTGATTGGTCAGATAAGTAAATCGATATAAATCGATATTTTTGACCATATTAATATCAATATATATTTTTGTAGGGATTGGAACCGTTTAACCGTTTAAAAATTGCTTCATAGTTCCAGGCAGAATTATGTTGGTCGTGGGCCGGAATTATTTTAATGCCGGCCAAATTAAACGGTTAAACGGTTAAACGATTAAACGATTAAGAAAAATTTTAGGCGGTTCCAATCCCTATATTTTTGCCTATATTTTTCCGGGTCCCTGCCCCAGGATCGCCGTCAAATTTTCACTATCACGTGATGATCATCCAATAGCGAGTTTCGTTTTAATGTAACGTTATACGATCAGGAAGAACGTTCGCTTTTCAAAAATCGCTTATTTCTCAAAAACTTGCATAAGAAACCACCTTTTGAGCTCTAACAAAAAAAATTCCTCGAGTGATTTTACTATTACTTCTCTAAAAAGATTTTTATACGCTGTCACGTGAAAGTGGAAATTTTGACGGTGATACTGGGTAAGATCAAAACAACAACCTATTCACGTGATTTGTTTTGTCCCTAAGCTCTGTCCGTGGAATTTTCGCATTAACCTAGTGAATAGGAACACTAGCGACATATTATACACGTGATAGAACTTGGCATAAAAAAAACCTATGTTCGTGTCGTGCCTGACGTTATTAAAGTTAAAACTTCAAGTGTACTTTACTGAAATTGGCTCCAATATTAGATCATCTTGCATGCATTAGTTATTAATTTTAGATGCAACTTAAGGAATTATAGTATTACAAAATTTTTAATAATTTTAAATTTTATTGTGTTCAATTTTACTTTTACAGGCCTTCACAAAGTTACATAGACTTATTAAATAAATAACTTACGCTACGTTATCATACGAGCGTAAACAATATAGCGTTCAATAATATTGAATGTATTACATCATGAAAATAATGATGTTTAATTAAACGAATCAATTGAAATCCCAACCTCTAAAAATAATAGATTCGTTTAATACTATATAACTTATTTATTAGGTGATTAGAATATTTGCCCGTTAGCCGCTAAAAAAAATACCACATAAAAAGTCAAATCATCAAAACACACTACATCGCTACATCATCTTGCTGTCCGACATCAGGTGTGTTCGTCGGAATCAATGAAGAAACAAAGGTCCATAACGCATGCTCAACATCTTGAAGAGTAATTTGCCTCGCGTTTTCCTGAGCTGGTTGTGGAACATTATTTGCAACATTATCATTATTGTTATTACCGTTATTTTGTTGCTCCCCGGTCGATGAGGATGTAGATGAATTTGCAGCATTGTTATTTGGATCATTAGTTTGCATGGGAGGTGGATGTAAATGAGCAGTTGATGAAGACGACGAGGGAGTATTGGGATTATTCGGGTCCGGTTGCGGGATTGGGAGCCCTCCCGGATTTTGTTGTACCGGCATTTGTGGTAGTTGTTGTGCTTTTAACGATTATTTCGTTATAAAAACTTTAATATTAGTAATTTACCTAGAAATATATTAACACTAAACCCTGATATATACCTAAAATATCATTGCCTATATTAGGTATAGGTGCTATGATTCTCTGTCTACGTCTCCGCACGATACGTAACCGTCCAGTTTGATGTCTATTTCATATGTAGTAGGTTACATTGATGTTCAAAACTATGATCACTAAGATACCACCAATATGAAAATGAATTAATACTCACAAAAAAATTACAAACGCCATGAAATACAACAAAATCATCCGTTCTGTGCTGGCATTTTGTGAAAAGATATATACCAGGAAACCAAGCTTTACAATCAACCATAAGGTAGCCGCTCGGCGCTGATTTCTTGCGGCGGCATCTTGTTGAGGCTCTGGAATCTGTGCAACTAAAGGTTGTTGTGCTTGTACACCAGTTTGTGGTGTAGGCACGTAATGATATGGATACATATACCGGTATGGATAATGAATCGGTGCAATGTAAGGCATTCCACTGAAATAATTTGGAGTTAGTCAGATTTTTAAAAATGGAATAAAAAATAAAATAAAAATAAAAAGGAACTCTAATTACAAGTAATCTTACTTTATCATAACGTAATAATATTGCAAAGGTAGTCCTATTGGATAGAGACTTTGATTTACGGGAATGTCATTCTGCTGTTGTGGATTAATGGAATACTGCTGTTGTAAGTATGTATGTGCATGTTCTGAAGGTGGAACAAAATATGGCATGTTAAGATTTGGAGGCTGCTGGGCAAATTCAGTTAAGCCTGTAGTACCAAAATTTTGATCTGTTAAAGGTGTGGCTATTCGTGCATTGGTTGTAGATGTCGGGCGAGATACAGGTATCCCGGTGGTTTCAGCGGACGTCTGAAACGAAGGCTTGACAACCAAATGAAAAATTTGGTCTGTTGCAAGCTCACTTCGTAAAACGTTTATGATAGTGTCAGAATCACTTAGCACCCTTCCTCTGTAGATCAACCTTTGGTCTCGAACATTTGGTTTAGTAGGATGAGTCTCGAAGATGGTTCGTTTCAAAGTAAGAACCGACGAGTCAAGGCTAGTTAATATGGAAAAGTCATCGGGTAACGAGGTAGTAGGCGAACGAATGAATATTCTAACTTTGCCACATTCACCACTAAAGTTGGAAGAATCGCTATTTGAGGACGTCGCCGGTTCAGACATTGAAAATTGTGTACTTTCTAAAGGAAAACTAAAACTGCTTATCAAAATTCAATCGGAAATATTTATGTAGGACTAATACATATCACGTGAGCAACTAGCTATCGTGTACCTTTCTGATTCATCCTTTTTTTTTTGAACACTATTTTAGTTACTATTGGTTGACACGTCAGATTATCAATATATAAAACTATATGCTTTCTATTTTACACACGTGAGTCCTAAATCATTTTATAATCTTACGCCTTTGAGAAACATAGCTTCGCGAAAAATTCCCTCAAGTTCAACAGCAGACTTATAGAAAATAGTATCTGATTTGTTATAAATCTTGGCATTGTTCCAGATTTTTTGCATGTCAATTGCAAATTCTAAAAGTGACCGATACCTGTTATTTTCCATACGTTTCAAAACGGTTGAAAGGTCCATAGGATCCTTGATTATATCATAGTAGTCAGGAACATCATCTCCGTTTACAGGTTCATGAAATGGTAATGATGATGGATGGCTTTTTAATCGATTTAATATTTCTTTCATAACAAGATAATGTGACATATTCTTAATGTCTTTCGCCTGTTTTTCTAATTGTGGTGTCCATCCAGATATTCTAATTCCCGGCACTGACATCGGATCTACAGACTTGACACCATTTTTAAAACATTCCAAGCCACGATAAATAATTGGAGGCTTGCACGTTTGAGCTATTTTATTTTTCACCGCTTGCTTTTGCTTTTCCAGGATTTGTCGAATCTGTCTATACTTTACTTTTGGTATTAAAGTACACTAACCAATTTTTTATGAATTCAAGAAGGATAAGCCATGAATATTTTGCTAAATTGTTAAAATAAAATATAATAATAACGATAATAAATAAATTTAGTTTAATCACATTATATACCTGCATGAGAGTCGCTCCTGTATAATCCTTCAAGTGTCCGCCCCATATATCTTGATCTAACGTGATTTCGTCAGTAAATCCGTTTTTTCGGAAAAAACCAATAGCAAAATCATCTGCATAGACTAAGAATTGTGTAATATTAAACGTATCTTTTATATAGTCCTTAAAGTAATTCATCAATTTTGTGCCATATCCTTTTACTTGTTGATCACTATCTACCGCGAAAAATACAATTTCGATAAATGACTTTTCCAAAAAAGGCCGATAGCAAATTCCTCCTACAACTTTTATAGGATCCCTCACTATCGCCAAACTATAATGATTACGGTCATAGACGACCCGAGCAATGTATTGTGCCGGCATGTGTGGTAGCGCAGTTGCAAACAATTCTTTTATTCCGGTCAATAATATTAAATTATCATGAGAACCATCATTGTTAAGAAGACGCAATCTAGTACCGTATTGCTGCTCTTCCAAATGAGCTGTGTTTTCATTCCTCATTTCCTTGTCCATCGGTTTTTTTCGACTCAATTTTAAGTTAAGATTAATAATTGAAACTATTTTCTTTCTTAAATCATGCACATAAGCATCTTCATATTCAAAATCCATTAACTTTCCTTGTTTCTCCAAGTGTTCATCAATTTGGACGGTGATGTCCCAAAGTTTATGTATCTCTTCTATCTGTAACTCTCTGATGATTGCGTGCTTACTTATTTTATGTCCACAAATGCACCATTCTAAATAAGTTGTATTAATAGATTTTGGCCTCCATCCAGAACACAAACAACGTTCTTGCAAAGGATTCGAGGAACTCTCAGTGCATGGCATATTTCGCGCTATTTTTACATACTTATTACGATTACTATTGGTCAATAATTCTTTAGTGGCTGCAGGATCATTAGCATTAGCCATTGTAAAATTCGCCACAAGATTGTTAGCTTTTCCTGGTTCACAACTAGTAGCCCTCTACTAACGAACTGTTTTGAGCAGAAATGCAATAGTATGAATATATATTGTACGTACCTAATTGAAAATAATACGCGTTAAATACTTAAATACTCTCGATTTAATTACGGACCAATGATCTAATTTTGAGTCGGCAATTAAACCTGACCAAATACAACGGGTCAGGCAGCGTTAGACATATGTGACATTAGGAAGGTATGGTATTAAATAGGCGGAACCGTCGATGTCACACGACTGACTGATTCTTCACCCGGTGTGCAACACAAAAAAAATATATAATCATTCCATGTTATGATTATAATCCCACACCATTTTATTATAATAAAAATGGTGTGGGATTATAATCATAACATGTACTAGCTGGTATTGTAAATAATTTTTTTATGTGTTATGGTGCGGGTGGGTATTATGACGCACTTGTGTTTTTTGATGAAACACTGATCAGAATCGAAACAAATCAAATAATATAAAATTTTTTCGTTCTAATTGCTAAACTACAAGTTATAAGTAAAAGTCGATATTACTTATTTCAGTATTAAGCATCTTTTAATTTTTATTGCACAGGGTGTGTAGGTTACGCCAATTTTCGCATCAGGCGTTATAAGGTAATGGAGATTTTAATAGCATTTGCTGATCATTATTTCATTCGTCTATTTTTCTCAATATCAAAAATTTGTCGAAAAAGCAAATATGGATATATATACTTGTAACTGTTACTATTATTGCAATCTTTGTTACTAAATCAACAAATGCAAAAGTAATATAAAAAAGCATTTTATATTTTTTTATTGTAAAAATTATTATTTGATTTCATTCTTTAGACTGCAATAAGCTGTAATTAATTTTTTATCTATTACATTATTCTTATATACATTATTATATTACAACTGCTAAAATAATATTTTGTATCATGTTTGATAATAAATAAGGCTGTTAAAAGTTTGATCTTATCCGTTCTGACTTCTCAAATAGGAACTTTGATTAGGACTTGATCTTGAGTCGATCTTTATATATGATTTACTAATATAATAGTTTATATCTTTAAAATAATTTTTATCATTATTAAAATTTATATATTATTTGTTTATTTTTTTTTTAAGGTGATCTCTTTGGTCTTTTGATTTTTATTAATTACTTATTGGTATTGTGATTCAATGAACCACTACAGGAGAGCATATAATTGGTTACATCTGTAACTTTTCTATATTATTTATTTAAGAAGTCCATCTGAAGGTTCTCTACCAATTATCATACTTAGCACTTTTGTTTGGATGTTTCACTTTAAACTTTTTGAACTTATAACTTATGTTAACTCATTGGGTCATACTCAGATGTTCAGATTATTGTCTTAATTTTAGGATTAATTTATCTTTAAGGTAAACCTTCCAGAGTCTTCTGTATAGTTGATCTAGATATCATTATGACAGAACCAATATTTGTGATCAGGATTTAATTATTAAACTATTATGTTTTTGTAAAATTCACTCAGATCTTAGTATTTACTTTATTATATAATCTTGGTATTTTAGTATATCCTTGAATTTCATCAAACTTCTAATTTAGATAGCTTATATAGAACAATAACCAGTCTATCAGTATATTATGTGATCTAATATTTTTTTTTTCAGTTTGTTTTGGTAGTCAGATTGGTAGTATCTTCAAGACTTTCAACTTGGAGATTCTTATTTATTCAGTTACTAAAACATAAGTATTTATTTCTATAAATTAGTTTTTACAGTAGTATTATCAAAAATCTGATTATCTTTTTATTCAAATCTTTACAAATAGACTTTTTGTTATCTAATTTCAACAGATTTATATATCTATAAGAATTTAGTTGTTGATTTACATTTCTCTATATAACTTCAACATTGCACAGATGTCCTATAACCTGCCAGTTATGTTGATGTGACTGCTATTACAGATATTCTAACCTAATCATTAGTAACAGTTGTCATAATACAAATATTACATAGGTAATTATTCAAATTTTTATTATCAATAAGATTTGAATACCTAATTTATCATTTAGGAGGTTGACAACTTAACCACTTCACTAGGTTGTTATACTTCTTTTATATATTATTAATTAAAAATTAATTATATTTTTATTCTATATTTATTTTCAAAACTCTTGTCTTAGATTAACTTTTTATATATAAAATAATTTTTTTTTTTTTTTTTTTTTAGTATTAAAATAATCTTTTGAATCTTTTGACTTTATTTAACAATAATAAATATGGTTCAGTGAACCACTACAGGAAGAGTATACAATTGGCTACATGTGTAACTTTTTTATATTATTTATTTAAGAAGTCTGTTCAGAGATTCCTTACCAATTGCCATATCTAATATCTTTGCTTGGATATTTTATTTTAATTCTCTGAATCTGCAAACCTGTTAACTTCACTAAATTATATCTGATACACAGATTATTGTCTTACTTTTAGAGCTATTTTATTTTTGAGATAAGCCTTTTAAAGCCTTTTGTACCTATTTTTATAACTAATTTAAGTATTACTATAACAGAACCAACACTTGCAGTCAGAACTTAACTATAAACTACTATGCTCTTATAGAATTCACTTAGATCATAACATCTACTTTATAGCATAATCTTAGTACTTTAGTATACCTCTGTCTTTTTATCTATCTTTTTACCATACTCCCAATTTAGATAGTCTGTATAGAACTACAATTAGTCTATCAATATATTAGATTAGTCTAATATTTTTTTTCTCTGGTTTGTTCTGATGGCCTAGTTGGTAATATCTTTAAAACTCTCAACCCAGAGGTTCTTGTCCATCTGGCTACTATGACCAGGTACTATGACCTTGGTATCCATTTTTTTGGATAGTTTTTGCAGTAGGACTGTTGAAGATCTAGCTACTTTTCTACTTGGGTTTTCTCAAATAAACTTCTTGTTACCTAATTTCAACAAATTTTTATAGTCACAAGAACTTATCTAATGTTTGTAGTGTCTGATTTGTCAGTTTGCATTTCTTTATGTAATGCTATACTTACACAAATGCCTTATGACCTGCCAGTCATGCTAGTGTGACTACTATTACAAGTATCCTAACTCAATCATTAGTAACAGTTGTCATAATACAAATATTATATAGATAATTATTCAAATTTTTGCCATCGATAGGATTTAAACATCCAACCTATCACTTGAAAAGTTGACAACCTAACTACTTTACTAGGTTATCACACTTTTAAAGTAGTTTTTATAAATTTTTTAAGAAGATATTTCTTAAAAGATTTATTGTATATTTGGTTATAAAAAAAGTACATTTATATAGAATGCTTGTAGCTTATAGTACAAAGTAGTTTGCAGTTATTAAATCTATATTTGGAAAATAATAAGTTTTTGTTTCTATCATAATAATGAATTAGTATATAGTTCTGAAGATAATAAAAGATAGTTTACTAATTTGTCTAATGAATTTTAATTGTTTTAACTTAACTTTTTCAGATTCTTAAAATATTCTAACAGATCTTTTTTAGATTTTACTGTTTTTTATCTATAAACTAAAATAAATAAGAAACCTTTAAACTATCAATAACTGACTAATAATCTTCTTTATTAAAGATTTCAAACTTAGTAGATAGATCAAGTAGAGTTAAAATAGTCAAAAATTCTAAAAGATAAGTTCAGTATTTTAGTAATTTTATTTTTATTCTTTGAGTTATTTTATAATATATATTTGTATTTGTATTTGTAGTTTCAATATAATGGTTAAAATGTATTAAATAGTAATACAAATCAAAAAATCAAATTAGTTGTTAACTAATTAACAAATCAATTAAAAAATTTTGAAAAAAATAATTAATTACTTGGAAATTTTTGTCAACTTATAATAAAATAATTAATTAAAATTGATAAATTATTTAGTTAACAACTAATTGATTAAAATTTTTAAATTTGTTAACTAATTAATTGAAAATTTTTTAGTAATTTGTATTACTAGTATTAAAAGTTCTTATAAATTATTTGTAATAGATTATGCAAAAGTAATAAAGTTTTTTGCAATTCAATATCACTTTATAAAAAAGTTCAAAAAACTAAATCATTTTATTAACTACTTCTCAATCTTTGGGTTTTAAATAGTTTTCTTTTAAATTAAAATAAATTAATACTAAATAGTCTATAACATTTTTAATTTTTTTTTTTTATATTAAAATGATCTCTTTGGTCTTTTGACTTTTATTAATAACTTATTGATAATATGATTTAATGAACTACTACAAAAGAGAATGTAATTGGCTACATATATAACTTTTCTATATTACTTATTTAAGAAGTTTACTCGAAAGTTCTTTACTAATTGTTATATCTAACAGTTTTACTTGGTATTTTACTTTAAACTCTCTGAACCTTTAACCTGTGTTAACTTACTAGGTTATACTCAGATATCCAGATCATCATCTCAACTTTAGGACTATTTTATTCTTGAGATAAACTTTTTAGAACCTTTTTGTACTTATTTTTATAGCTAATCTAGGTATAACTATGACAAAACCAATACTTGTGATTAAGGTTTAACTATTAAACTGCTATGCCCTTATAGAGTTTACTCAGAAACTAATATCTACTTTACAGCATAACCCTAGTACTTTAATATACCTCTGAATTTTACCAGACTTTAAATTTAGATGACCTATATAGAACTATGACCAGTTTATTAGTATATTAGATTAGTTCAATATTTTTTTTTTCTGATTCATTTTGGTAACCTGATTGGTGATACTTTCAAGACATCTAACCCAAAGGTTCTTGCCTGTCTGGTTACTAAGACCTTGGTATCTGTTTTCTCAAGTTAGCCTTTACAATAATATCATCAAAGATCTGGCTAAGTCTCTACTTGGATCTTCTCAAAAAGACTTCTTGTTATCCAATTTCAATAAATTTATATAACCACAAAGACTTAGCTAATATT